GTTGTGGGTTTTCTTAGGGCTTGACTCTGTCCTCTGACCTCCCACATGCCCCTCACAGTCCCATCCACAGCTCTCTGGGTCTCGTCTCCTCTTTGCCAGGGGAAGCCCTAGGACTTCTGCTCTCAAGCCAGAATCACAGGGTATGTGCGATCCAGGATTCTGCCCACCTCTGCCCAACCAGAGAGCCCACAGCTTCACACAGTATTTGCGGAAGGAGTCCCTCACCTTCAATCCAGGAGACTCACTGTTTCAGCTGGTGCAGGGGTCCCCCATCCTCTTCAGTAAAAGGGAGGCTGCACCCGTATCTAGAGGACAGCAGGAAGGCATCACATGGACTGTCCTGAGCACACTAGCTGGATGTGGTGTCTAGTGTGACACTGTGAGTCCTGGGAGAATGGAAGCCCTGGAGGGCATGGCTGTTGTCTGCTCGATGCATTAAATGATGGTTGTTCCTAGAAAAGCCCCATCCCTTGGGGCCCTTCCTATGTATTTGAGGAATGAGTGAGCCCACCCAGCCCCGTAGCGCACATCTGAGTGGGCCTGGGACCCCTCTTGTCCCTCCCAGGGATCCCTGCTCTCACTCTCCCAGGACAGGGACAGCTAATGGCATCACAGGCCCCCTTTGAAATGGGAAAACAGTTCCACCCAAGGCCAAAGTCCCAGTGACACAGGAGGCAGGAGGACAATGACAAATTCACACAACCACAGCCCCGCCAGCTGCCGTTTCTGTGAGCCAGGGCCCCAGAAAGCGTTTTTGGTGGTCTCCCTCTGTTCCTCCCCTCCTAGGGCCTGATCGTCTCTTGACCCCAGTGTGCAGGGGGGCAAACTGAGGCTTAGGGAGGCAGAGGAACAATGCCTCATGTCACTGCTAGTAAGTGGGCCGAGTCTCCAATGTCCCATGAAGACAGAGTGCTCACCTTTCGAACAGATGGTCCAGCACCTGCTGGGTGGTGGCAAAAGTTCAATAATTGCCCAGAAATGTGTTCACATAGGAGGGGTGGCCGACCAGGACTGCAGGCACCAGGTTGGCCACCAGCTTCTCCAGCCTGTGTTGCTGGAGGCTCCACACCCTGTAGGTCTCATCCTTGCTCCCTGATGGTCCATCTTCCCCCTGGGGTGGAAAGAGCAGAGACATGAGTCAGAGGCAGCACCAGGGACCCCCAGGGATTGGGGCTGGAGACCAGACCGAATCCTCAAGCCTCAAGTTCTTGTGCCAGAGGTGGAAGAGGGGAGCCCTGAGCAGATTCAAGGTTCTTGGCATCACCAGTACAAGGGGCGGAGTGTGATGATTAAATGCATTAGTGTCTCAGATCATTGTGTCAGCACCGCAGTGACAGTACCTCCCTGCATGAATTACCTCATCCCTGTGACTGCTGTCACAGCATCCCATTCCAGAGATGAGAACACAGAGGCTGATCCCTGGGTGGGAAGGACGAGGTTTGTCAGGCCAACGTGGGCACATGGGGATGGAGGAGAAACAGGGCAATGTGTAGAAAAATGCAGAAACACTGTTGACTTAACATGAACTGAAGTTCTGTCCAAGTCTCTTTCTGAGATTTGGACTCATATGTGGTCATTCACTTTGCATCTGGCCAAGGCAGGGCCTGGGCTGTGAGGGTGGGTGGGGGAGATGGGGAATCAGATTCCTTGGCCAGCAGGTCTCTAAGAGGCAGCCCGGGGAGGAGCGGGGCAGCTGTTGGGCCCAGGGCTTCCTGGACATTGAGTCTCCTCACTCACACTCACCCTCCGCCCATCCTGGGCTCTGCTGGTGTCGTGGGGCACCT